ATGTGTAAAAGGTGAATGGGTAGTCTGGTATGATGTGACAAAGATCTTGAGTATTGTAGGCCAGCCAGGATTACGGATGCTACAGCGGATTAAATGCCTGAACAAGCAATATGTTAAGTTAGTGGCATTATTGTTATTACAGAATACAGTCGATGAAGTATATTTTGTTTTTGTTGTGGATTAGTTCAATATTAATTGTGAATTTTGGAGAGCCAAGTCGGAAACTTGCAATAATTTATTAGCACAATTTAGATAACAACCGATCGTTCCTTCAATGACAACTGAACTATTTTATTGTTTTACATTTAAGAATCATCCATAAATTGAATAACCCTTAATGTTATAGCGAGTCAAGACCACTGCATAAAAAGATTCAGGCATTTTCAAACATTAAGTCTTGATCTCGCCAGTCCACAAGACGCTAAAACGATAGAAGTACAATAGCCTCTCTTACAGAGCATGCGCAATTCTAATAGTGTATGACGTACGACATCATCGCATTCTCGTCCGTCCACACGAAAACGGGAAGACAGCGTTGTAACAAATCTCCTCTCTGGGGACCGTTGTTGTGCCTTGAAAAGGCATTTACGAGTGAACGGAAGGCTAAAACGAAGAAAAAAATCTCCGTTTTCAAATTTATCCGGATACGTGTGGACGGTGCCTAGGACATGCGCATCTACAGTGCTTACATAATTGTTTCAAATAATTTATAAGTGATTGGCCATTACTACATGTGAGTTTCACCAAGAAACCTCCTGGCGACTTCACAAGTGATAGGATTACTTGTCAGTGGCTCTCGAACCTACCCTGGCTCCAGAGGTCCGTTCTCAAAATACCTAATATGAAATAAACCGTGCTTACGGTTTGATAAGGCTCCCGAGTTATTTTTTTCTCTCGGCGCTTCGGGCCTCGTTGACACGACTTCGCCGCGAACCATCAGTATCGGTAAGAAAAAAATATCCATTGGAACCCAGGGTATCTCGAACCCTTGTTTTAGCAACCGCTTGCTCCACAGACCTTTTAGGCCAGTTCACACCATGTGATTGTACTCTAAAACTGCGTCGATTTAATTAAACTTCCTTGAGAATGTCAAATGACCTGAACTGAGCCGAGAAACAAGCCAAGCTAAAAAGGTAAAAATTCGAGCACAAATTACACAGTTTCTATTACCTGCTATTAAAACGTTCTATAGAGAACTACACACCTTGTTGACCCTTGTAATGGGCTATTTACATCAAGGCGTCATTTCACTTAAACTTCCAGAAGAATTCGGTTCATAATCTTTGTCACATTCGAATACAGAAATCTCAGTGTTGTTCTAAATCAATTTTGGCCCTAATTTGTACAAGAAAACAAAATCACGAGGTATTTCAGGAGTAGTATAAAAATGACGTCATCAAGAAAATGGCCTACTGGCATATTCATCGTGATGTCAAGGTACCCATTTTTGTATTTTTTAAAAAAGGGGGCACAGTCTGAATTAAGAAAACTGGTAGAGCTGGTTGGTGAATCAGAACAAAACGTCTACGCAAGTTTCAGCTCTCTTCAAGTAATAATCGACCTATCAAAAACTGCCGTCTTGCATTAGGGACCTTACGAAACTAAGACGGCGACAAAAACGGGAAAGTCTAAAACACAATAGTTTTTTAATGAGCAAAACAACACCTCTGCACGTGCATCTCGCGTTTTTTTACATTTGCTTGCCGCCCCCTGCACAACTACGAATATGAAACGACCAAACTTTTGAGTTGCCTTGAGGACGAAAACGGCAAGGTGATAAACTATCTGTCTCTAAACTCTCACGCAGTCCCCTCTCTTCAGGTCCAACCTAACTGGGCGACTCGGTATCAGGACGGAAAAAATTTCGAAGGACGCAACAAGTCTATTTTTCATCGACGTTTTCATTGGCGTCGCCGTTGTCGGATCGTTAGGTCCCTAGTGCGTTTACGCAACAGGACGGCAGGAAGAAGACGACGGTAAAAACCTTTGTGAGTGACAAACGTGAGAGGGCCATTACTTGCGTGTTTTGTCGTGATCTTCACTTAACATTAACGATTTCTGGTCTTTTCAAACGGATCTGTTTAAAGGAAGGTAAGTTTGGCGGAAAGTGTTTTCAAACCAAATTATTGTCACGTTTGTCAGATAAGGTTTGCCGTCTTCTTTTCTCTTCCGTCCTATTGCGGAAGTTCACTATTGATATATTCTTTGTCAGTTATATTCTGAGGTTGAAAATGGACGGAGTTATATCAACCTCAAATTTTCAGACAAGCGAATTTTGTTATAATCTTTCGATGTTCAGAATAGCCACGTGGTTTTAATTGATCAGAGTATAATGAACATGTGCGAATAGCTGAAACAAATCGTTTCTAAATAGACTAGGAGTAGTCCCCCATTTTTCCTCAGGGATAGTAGAGCGAGCGAAACGCGAGCGCGCGTGAAAATCACCCCACGCGAGAAAAGGCGTGGGGTGATTTTCACGCCCGCTCGCGTTTAGCTCGCTCTACTATCCCTGAGGAAAAATGGGGGAATACTCGTAGTTTAGTTTCTAAATGTCTTCTCGTGTATTACGCAAAACATTGATAATCGACTAATTTCATTGTCAGTGTCTTTGGGTACTGCACTCACCTATTTCGGTGTGAAAAAAAAAAAATTACCTACAATTTTTCTACAAAGGCTTCAAAAAATTAGACGGCGCCCAGCCAGATTTCTGTCCGATTTTCACTAGCCACCAGCCCCCCTCGTCCATTTCAAGCACTTCCATTTTATCACCTTCCTTGAAACTGATGCATTGTTCATCTCGTTCATCAAAGTAACCCGCCACAGCTACGTAGGCAGCTTTGCTACTCTGGATATTTTCTTTGGGTGGAGCTGGTTTTGCTGGTCTTGTCGGTTTTGTTGGTACTTTTGGTTTAGTATTGATTATTTCTAGATATGAGGCAGGTGCCCATCCTTGTTTTCCACCCCTTGATTTCACAAGCCACCATCCACTACCCGAATCCTCTAAATATTCAAACTCATCTCCCTTAGAGAATGACAAACTTTCACCTTCATCCGAGGAAAACGTTTCTAAGGCTTTGCAAAGCGTTCTGATCTTTTCCGAGGAGGCAGACGCTGTTTCCACTCGCCATGGCTTTTGTGGCACGTCTGGAGTGGCCATCTTCACACGTGGTTTCACTTGCGGTTTAACCGGACGATCTGGTTTCTTAGACACAGATTCCTGTTTAGAGGCAGGTGTGACAGGCTTAACAGGAAGCGGCATTGGTTTCCTTCCAGGTTGTAAACCCACTGGGGCTGCTGGTCTCGGTGGTGCAGTCTTTTTCTCAGAATTGGAAGCCTGCAGGTAACTAGACGGAGCCCATCCTTCATTGCCTTGTATTTTGACATATGACCACCCATCCTGCTCCTCCTCAATAACATGTACCATTTGTCCTTCCTTAAATGAAATACTTCCTTCAAAATCACCGTCATAATCCGCCAAAGCGACAAATGTTGCAGGGACGTCAGAAGCCTTTTCAGAAACAGGGGCCAGAGGTTTGGGATTGTTTGTTGAAGAGGGAGTGCATCTTTTCGAATCGTTTTGCAATGGACGATCACGCTGTCTTTGATTTTGAGGTGAGACGCCGTTTTCAGACGTTTTCACTTTGCCTCTTTTACCCAGGTAAGATGAAGGTATCCAGCCCTCTTTGCCTCCAATCTTACCCAGCCACCACCCATTAGGAGCTTTGTCAACAACTTCCACCGATTCCCCTCCTGTGAAGTTTAACGCGCCTTCGATTCCCAAGGAACGAAAGTCACCAACCGTAAAGTACTCCACTTCAGGAGACTTTGGAAGGCTTCCGTGTAAATTAAGTGACCGCTCATAGGACATATTGGTGATATGCACAGGAAGCTTCTTCTCTGACCTTTTAACCTAAAAAAATTGAAGAAAGAAAAATTTGAAGCTAGTCAAAGCTTTCAGTTCTCCGACGGTGAAGCGAATCCTATTTTTGGTTAGCTATCCGAACAGACAAGAAGTGTGTACCTGGTCTATTTCTTTGATTGGTCAACCTGGCTGGATACTTTTTTCATACTTTTTTTTGCGTTTTTTGCATCGTCAAACGTCACAGAGGCAAAAAAGGAACTTGGCTACCATCCAGCTATAATGACCTCATACACGCTTGGTAAATAACGCTTATATATCATGCAGCCTTGACCTTGAAAACTACCATAATTCCGACAGAGAACAATCTTCATTTAAGCCTGCAATACGGCGTAATTGAGGGCGCTCAGGCTGGTGCGTAGGGATACGCACGCGACGCGCAGGACACGCAAGGAAAAGGAAAATAACACTTTTCCTTTCTCGCGTGTCTCGCGCTCAGCGCTCGCGCCCCCAAACCCGCCCTGGCGCTTTCAGTAACACCAGTTGTACAAGCCAATTAGTTTTTATTTATTTGAGGCAAGGAATGTGTTCAGTAATTCTCAGGTGTGATAACAATAATTTAATATCCAATATGTGATGAGCTTGCTACTGAACGGAGATAGAAAACAGCCGAGTCCCTCACGAAAGCCTCGTCCCCGAGCACGCGGCTGAACCAACTGACCTAATAAGAGACATGACGAGCTAAGCTTGGACATTCTATCTCAACATGAGACCTCTGTCTCTTGCACAAGACGTCTTGAACCTCATTACTTAATCTAGATTAAAGCAACTGATTTACAATAATTCTGCATTAAGATCTCACTTTTCACTCCTACGAAACCCGAGTATGTCGTACACTTCGACTGTTCGACTATGATCAACTGCAGAACACTTACCGAGCTTTTTCTTGGTGGCAGTTTCCGACTTTTGGATTCTGTTTGATAACAAAAAGTAATCCATTGTTCAGTAGCAGGAAAAATGCGGAATTCCAAGGGAAATTAAAGGTCTTGATTTGAGCACGAGTGGTCGTTAATCACCAACACTTATTTTAAGCGACGGGAACATTTGTTTCAAGTTGCGTGTTTTTTTCCTATGTAGTTCTCACTTTCCAAAATGTCGGTGTTTTGAAAAGAAATCAAAACAAATCCATTTCAAGGGCTGGTGATTCAAAGAAGGAGGCCTAATCCTGCACCTCTTTTTAGTTTTCGCTTCAGTTTTGGAGATAATTACCATGGGTACTATACCAAAGGATTTTTGTCGCGCGGCGGGATGCTTCAGAGTTGGACACGAAGGCCGAAGTCACAAACACTTGACTGAAACCGGAAACCGCGCATAAAAAGTCTTTGGTACCCAGGGGCGGAGATAATGGGCCTCAAGGATTATCCTTAATGTTTTGAGAAAGTGAGGAGAAGAGTCGCTTATTTGCTAGTTTTTTCCTCAATACAAGTTTATCGATTTTAATTGACATCTTGCGTCGAAATTCTCATCTTTAGTTTTATTTTTTGTGAATAATTGAGACCAGGTTGAGACTTCTTAATATACCCAAATACGGCTTACTTGCGATTTGTTTAAAATCCAACAGCCTTTCTTATGAAATTTGGTTAATACTTAGCTCCGTAAATTTAAAGTGAAAGAATTCTTTTTTGAGACTTCGATAAGTATTTGAAGATATGTATTTCCTGGTGGCGATTTCATTGGTGGCGAGGTGACCGGACGCCTCTGTATTTAAAAATACAGAGCCGTGCGTGATGTTCCTCTGCCGTGTCTGAGGCCTTATTAGCAAAATTTCTAAATTATAGTTTTCGTGGTGAACCTTTGCCTTAGTAAATCTTGTCCGCCTGATGACTAAGGACAAAGTCGCCTTACCAGAAACCCTTGGGGCGCTCTGTACGCTTCCTTTGCTTGTTTCATCCTTTCTCTTTATTGAAGTTCCCATAGCTTGAAGCTGCGAAGGGTTTGGTTTTTTAAGGTACATAGCTGGAGCCCAACCTTCACGATCTTGGTACCTTATGGAAGAAAAGCCAGAAAAAAATTATAAAATTAATGACCTGCTTTGAGAAAGGCAATTTTTTAAGAGACGGTGTAGTTATCAGCTTAGGGCCTGTTTACATGGAGGTGGGGGACCCCAGGTAGGTGAGGTTAAACCTTCTTTGGTGGGTAACCCTCTTGTCCACATAATCTCCCATTTTAATTTGATCACGTTTACATGGTATGTGGGGTGACCCGCCGCATGTTACCTCACCTTTCTGGGGTCCCCCATGTCCATGTAAACAGGCCCTAGAGCAGCGACGACGGCGAGGACAACGAGAACGGCACAAAAGCAATAGGTTTGGATTAGCAAAACAACAACTTTGCACGTGCATCACGCTTTTTTGTACATTTCTTTGCCGTCACTGCACGACTACGACGTGAAAATGCCTAATTTCGAGTTTTGAAGAGGACGTGAACAGAAGACAACGACTTTCTTCTTCTTTTCCTGTACTTTGAAGCAGTGCTTTAGAATTGAACTCCAGAGAAGTTTGCCAACATTGGACAAATTGAACGAGATGGAATAAGCACGTTAAAGTTTGAGGCAGCGTGAATTCACTTTTTAAGGGATGTTTCCGCAGCCGTCGCCGTCGTAGTTGTTTAGGCTCCCTAATAATTCGTGAAAACGCCATGAGTTTAATTTCAAGCAATAACCTCCTTCCCAACCCCCCCTCCTTTTTCCTTCCTCCCAATCCCCTTCCCCTTCCTTCCCCTTTCGACGCCTACTACGCACGCAGGCTATCTTCTCAAGGCCCCAGTTGTTCTAAAATCCATGGATAACGCTATCCACCGGATAAATCTCTATCCAGTGGATAATGCAATTGGTTTTCCTAAAACGTATCTACTGGACAGGGATTTATCCCGTGGATTGCTTTTTCCACCTTTTGAACAACTGGATCCTTAAGTATACTCATTTAGTATAGTTGAAATCGTCCCTTACGCTGGTTAGACGAGAAATGTGGTGAATGCAGCGACAGGCAAAAGTAATTTAACCAAGCCCGAAAAAGCAATTTCCGTTCGTAAAAAAGGCCAGTCCGCGCAACAATCCTGAGGGATTGGGACTAATAGCAGTTTACTCTACAAACAAACAGGAGTTTACTGAAAAAGCAGGTTCAAAATGCCCGGGGTATAAAAAGCAACCTTTGACGCTACTTTGTACTTGCATCGCCGGTTGAGTATGTCGACTTTCGCTCTCAACGGGTGTGCCATTTTTGTAATCTAGGGCGCTATGCTGCGAGAGCTCTACTAATACCTTGCGCCTCCTTCATTTCAGTTCCCTGCACGCACGGTAACGTTATAGCGAGGTCATTATTCGTCTAACTTTTACATCTATATTTGGAGGAAACTCTATCGTGTTACCATTCAAATAAAACCTCTTTGACCGGAATTTTGCATGGTACTATTAATTTCTCAAGATTTTAGGAAAGAAATTTATTTGTTTTTGCGAATTTTTCCCTTGAACACTATTTGGAGTGGAAATACCATCATATACAACACAAGACGAGTTCAGAAAAGTGCCAGGCAGGATTTAGGCAGGGTCAGTAACACATAGAGGAATTGATTGATTAAACTCACCGAACAAGCCACCAGCCATCAAAGTTTTTCTCAAGGACGGTTACTATTACACCCAATTCAAAGCTCATTTCATCATCAAGTTCTGCTTTGTATGCTGATGTGGTCATGAATTTCTCTGTCGATTGCAGAAATACAAATAATGAGGATAAACAAGAAACTCAAAAACCTTGTCTTTCTGGATTTGTACTGAGATTACTCCTTTTCTTGATCTCTTATTTTTCCATAAGATCGTTGAGTTCAAGCGTTCAATGTAACTTTCCGCCACCTTGGTTTCAAATGTACCGAGGGGGCGGGTCCCGGGGTCCAGGCGTTCAGATAGTGGAATGCGGCGCGAAGTCAGAGAGAACAGGATAAAAATTTGGTGGAAGAGCGAGAGAGAGGAAAAATCTCACCCCTACCCTACCACCTCGTGTTTTACCTGCTCACTCTGCCCGTCTTCACTATCTGAATGCTTGAAACAGGCTAGCGTGGCACTGATGTGCTTCTTTTCTCCATCGCCCTCTCCTCTTTTTGCGCTTGCCCCACAGGCTTGGTTTATCGCCAGACTAGACCTGGTACATTTGAAACCAAGGCGGTTGCCAGTAAGGGTAGGTGTGCTAGAAGATCTTACATACAGAAAAATAGGGGACTGTGCACAGTCGATTATTGTTCTTGAGGGTAGTCTCGCAAAATTATGGAGTAAAACAGTGCAACTTCATTTTAGACATACCTGCCTCACATGGCTGATCTGCAAAGTCATCTTGTGAGCCGTCCTCTCTCTCAAGGTAAGCCGCTGGTACCCAGCCCTGCTCTTCATCCACGTTAACAAACCACCAACCTAACAAATAACACAGGTAAAACACGGGTAAGTAAAATGGTAATTGGGAAGAAAAGCTCCTAAAAAATCTGTTGACTGACACTCAGTCGAGAGTGGGCCAAATGTCGGCCACCTATGGGCCAACAAACGGCCGACATTCAGCAGTCAAAGACTTTAGGTTTCTGATTTTGCTTAATCATATGAGCATGATTACAACTGAATTGCATTACAAACTCTCTTAAACTTGTAGAAGAACAACGTCAGATTGTACATTGTACTGAATTACAAAGATAGGATTCTTTACCCAGACGTGACTTGAAAAATCTCTTCAAGCTCAAAAGCCTGGCTTTCAATTGAATGGTCACACCTTACATGAAATCAAATTGGCTGATTGCTGAAAATTCAACAGTTAAGGATGAAAAGAGGTGACAACTACTGAAGAGGTTTCATTTGAATAGTCACACAACAGGATTTCTCTGATTCACCAAATCCAAACTAAAACCTACACTTATGTAACATATCTTAAAAACTGGGCAAGGTAGAAAATATAATATGCAAAATTTACCATTTTCATTCTTGTCTATAACCTCCACAATATCTCCTGCCACCATGCTGACCTCATTTCTGTTTTGTTTCTTGTAGTCAGCTATGGCCACATACTGTTCCAACATCACAGGGCCACTGATGTTCTCAGCTGCAGTGCAAAAATTGGATTGAATTAAAAGAGTGTCTCAATTTAGATATCACTACGACGAATGAACTTAGGGTCCATGAATTTGATGGTAGCTTCCACCCATGCTGTCGAGACATAAGTCTCACAGAGTTTTCGGTCTGTACTGTAAATTACAGACCGAGTTTTTTTCCCATCAATGTATGACCCAAGGACGCGGATCACAAATTGAAGAAAAAAAAAGACGCTAATAATGTGTTTATTACAGGGCTTTCTGTTTGCGGGACTGCAAACAAGTGCAGGATAAGCGATCTGACAGTCATTTGACAGGTGATAAAATTTTCAAACACTGACTAGAATCCGGTTCTTCTATAAGATTCAATTCAGTTTCTTCATTTGCCTTCATTCACAAATAATCACAGGTTGAAATGTTGAAGGATGAACTCAATATCTAAGTCCTCAGGGTTGGCAGACATCTCATGACTTTCTTCAAACTCTTTTTTCAAGATGAAGAGATTTAGAGCTGTGAGATGAGCATTTGCTTTTGAGATTTTGGTTCGTATAACAAGTTACGGACCACAAACTGACCTGGCATAACAAGTATTATTAAGGACTGCACCTGCATAGACATTGATTATAATCTCTGAGTACATGTAATTAGTATAGATAATAGCATAATCAGTAGTGATATTTGGCATAAACACCACGAGTGATATTTCGAAATTGTTAAGCGAGTGAAATTTGAGACAATTTTGAAATATCACAAGTGGTATTTATGCCAAATATCAAGTACAAATGATGCTATTATTTGTTTATACTACTACCCGGAAAAGGTTTGTAATTTTCACATGTAGGTATTTCAAGTTAAGGTGAAATACCACTGCTCTAAGCCAATCAAATTGCAGAAATTTCACTCGTAGTAGTATAAAGGCGTAACTGCTGGGTTTAAGCAATTCACAACAGAAATTAACTTTTATAGGATGGAATGAATTAAAATTAAAAATCTTTGCATTTCATTATGTAAATACTTCAAAATGTGAAACCCTGGTTTTTAGCACTGTCCCAAAATAAGACAGCAAATTATTTTCAAGTGCATCTCACACATTACGATGGAAACTTTTGGTAGATAAAATGAACAATGAATGAAAAAAGTGCATTTCAACAGCATTGGAGAAAAGGTTTGGTTTCCGGTACCTGTTTCTTTCTTCTTCTTGTCTTTGCTGGAAAAAAAAAGTTTGAGTTAACATTTGGCGTGTTCATGATGAACTTACAGACACATGCACAAAAAATATTGAATCACTAACTCCTGTCACTTAATTATACATAATAACTCGTTCAATCAACAATTAAATTGATTAAATGATTTATTATTACAACTCGGCTTTTCAACAGCTTTACTGCAGTTCAAACCCTTAGCTTTGTGGAATGAAAGGAGGCTACAGTAGTAACAAATCAAGATAGGCAGGCCTACAAATGTACATGAACATGTATATTGGAAAGCAGGCTCATTATGAGATCCAGAGAAGAAATGAATGTAACAAAATGAATGAAGCTTTGGGCTGTGCACCATCGATTAACATTTTAAATTTTAATGAAAGTAATAGTAAGAGAAAGTTTATAGCCATGGTGGTGGGTATATACTTCTTAAGTGCAGTCAACTTGTAAGAGAGTGGGGACCTATTCAAGTAGAACATGGAGTACACCTAAAAACAGACAAAAAGTCTGTTGTAATGTCTGATGAAAATCTCGTCACCTCCTTATTTAAGGATACCCTAGATTTTTCAACGAAAAGATCTTCTTATGAACAACCAGTTTACTTACTCTTTAGCAGGTAGGTCTATGTCCTCTGGCTTCGGCTCAAAAAATTTTAACACTGTATCACATGCTGAGATCTTTGGAGGCAATGAAATCAGTTCCTAAAAACACAAGAGGAGACAATACCACATCTAATCAATAAACAGATAATTAATTTCTGCAGGATCATCCACTGTACTTTTTCTGCACAGCAAATGGAAATGATGCAAACTGTAAAAGTTGCATTAGGTTAGCCAAACAAGGCTAATTAAGGCTATGGTGGTGCGAGAAATGACCGAAAATACATGTACTTCAAAACTGACAACTTTTTTCACTGATCTGCAGTTACAACTTCAGAACTATCTTAAAGACTCTTACTTTGCAGTATTCACTGATTGGTTCCTTTCTTCGCAATGCAACATCCCGCACATGACTTCTTCCAAAGATGATTTTACCTATTTTTTATGCAGCACAAAAGAACATGCATGCTAAATATCACCACTGAGGAAACTACAGGAGAAGTAGTGGCTAACCAAACTCTGAAAAAAATATCGTCAGCTCTACTGAAGACGTAGATATTCTGTTTTGGAGGGGGAACTTGAAAGGGTGTCAACTCCTGGTCAGAATAATGGAAGTACTGGTCCAACATTTTTTAAAACACCCCTTTGAGGCATCAGAAGGTTGTTTTGTAGGCATGGCTCAGTATACTTTAAACTGTAAAGCTGGCACTGACAATGATGATGATTTAGTTAGAAAAGAAATACTAAGAACTTCAGTTTTTGGCTCAATACTCTATTAGGCCTCTAAAAGTTACTTTTAGATTTTACAGGCACCCTAAAGGTCTACTCTTGAAAAAGTATGACTTTTACCCTTGTCATTTTATAGGGGAGACTACCTTACAAACATACAAACAAGTGAATAAAAAACTTCAGCAAACATCACACCTGGTAAAAATGGCAATATTCTCTTGGATGGGTCCTTCACACCACTTTCCTCTGGGAACTCTTCTAAAAGTTTAGTCTGTACAAATGCAAGACTAAGTTAATAAATGTGGCTCAATGTCCTTTGCTAAGAGAGTCTCAAACTTTAATTATATGGTGGTGGATCAAGTAAGTCAAGACATTTCAAAACACTTTGAACTTCAACATAAATGGAATGTTAGGGTATGTTTCTTTCATTTCAAGGTCAGACATGAGTATGAAATTGAATATATAAACAGATACATTGCACAATCGACCACAGGAATACCAGCTCTCATTTAACTTGACAGCTCAGTGGTGCACCTGCACCTTTTCTTGTTACTAATACAAAGTTTTTGAGGGCACTCCAGCTTTATTTTCTATGGATTTAAGCAAATCACTTGCAAAATGAAAACCTCTGTGCTGGCTACAAAGCAAAGCTCAGTTTGTAGAGGGTGCATGATCGTAGACTTGAAAACAACTTTAACCCTTGATCGTCGGTACGGGTATTTCTGACGAAATCCAAGTTGTGATGATCGCCATTGATGTAACGATGATCTCAAGATATTAAATTGACGATCACATGCCATTTCAATTAAGTCTGGCAACATTAGCCATGCAATGACAGCAAATTAAAGAAACATGCCAAAAACTGTGCTGCACATTCAGAGCTTTGTTTTGTTTATTTTCTCGTTTTCCGTCATTGTTGTGTTACACTGAGCTTCCCAGTAGTTTGCTTTTACCATGCAAGACAATTCATGATATGCTATGATTTCACAAAAAAACATATGCTTTGGTGGAAAATCTGCGACCAAATCAGGATCCGCAGGTACACTGTACCTGTGAAGAAGCACAACCTTATGTCTAGTTAGGGCTTACTTTTTCCAAACTGCCTAAGTTACATGCATAATTATGATGCTTCATCCTTTTAGTTTTAGAAGTTTTAGTTAATATAAGATCAAGAAGTCTTTCATCAACTTTAAAACCTACACTGAAGTTATCTGCAAGGAGATAGAGCTCTTGACTATTAATTTCTCTACTTACTTGAAGATCAAAAAATTTACTGTATCGTCTGTATATGACATTGACACTTCCATCAGACCAAGTGACATTTATGACATAAACCTGAAGTACAAATTATCGTAACATGAGAAAATGGTTGGATACAGTATAAATGGATTATTACAACCAGGAGGAAGATAACTATGACAATAAATATATCTATGCAGTTAATCTGTTCCTAGTGGACAGCTCTAAAATACAACAAAATTTCACTACTAGCTACATTCTTGCTATATATTTTATATGTCGTCTATTCCCGTATAGCAATCAGTAAGTTTGTTTGAAAGCGAAATCTTTGATCACGAGCCTACGATGCTTTTCCCTGCCGAAAACAAAACACATGCCGAGAAATCGAAAGCCACTTCACCTTACGTGCTTGAGCTTACTTTAATCTAAGAGGGCCAAAATATAGAGAACGAAACGGTGATCGGAGACATCACTGAATAGAGACATAAGCCTTTATCACAGTCTTAATTTGTGCAATTTCAATGATCTTCGGTATACTAAATTAAGGTTATTTCTGTAAGGACCTCATACTTGGATACTCACATAGTGTTTGCTTGGTACTTTTCTTTTCTGAATATCAACAATTTTAACATTTGCCAGGACCCTGTGTGGCATTGCAGTTCTAAACGGATCCAAATTCCTGAAATGTTCTACTATCGCTAAATTATCACGCAAAAATCCAGAAACATTTGTCAACCAGCCAGTCGAGTCAATTTGATGAAGTTACAAGTGTCCTCAAATGTCCGGGAAATTCGGAACTGAGCCTGCAAACAGCCGGAAATGACGAACTTGCTCGCCCACCCCTACCCACTTTACCCAGCCCCTCCCTCCCCGTCATATCACTGCGTCCCTGTGGAGAGAAAGGATGTGCGTGTTTCGAGTGTAAGGGTGCCTGGCAGAACACTTATTAATCCACTTTTCCTGAATGGCTTACAGCGACGAATGCACTTCCACCAAGAGGATGACTTCCACAGCAATTTATACATCATGGGTATTCAGGATTCAGGGAACTGATTATGAATTAATAGAGGGAGAGATAGAGAGACAGAAAGAGTAACGAAATCACCTCTTGCCTGGAGCAAAATTCCTGGGGTGAGGGGTGGGGGGGGGCACTTGGATTAATTTTTGTGGGGTACCTAGAACCCCTTCCCCATTGGCCAATTATATACTAGCCTCCCACGTTTTTAGGGGAGGGACGAAATACGAGGTCCCCTAAAAACGCCTACGTGGGAGGCTAATTATAGACCCCATCTTAGTCACTTTTTGGAAAATGTAATTTTCACTATCCCAACTTAGTCACCTTCTATTTATGTATCTACCTTATCAATCCTTTTAATAGGTCTCCCTAAAATGAATTGACCCATTTTTTAAAGTGAATGGAGAACACTTTACTTTTCGCCTGCAGTACAAACACATTGGTACGTTTGCCAACCGTAAATACGAAGACTGAACTTTCTTACCCAAAAAATCCGAAAATGTGCAACTCCATTCTAGTAACTATTGAAAATGCAACCCCATTATGGTCACTCCAGTCGTGAAAACGGCACCCCATCCAGCGGCACATCACTATGAGCCTCTTATAAGGAAGTACCCCCGCTCCCCGGGGCAAAATTTGACTAAAATCAACCGAGAACTTTTAAACCAAACTTTTTTCATCAATTTTTGAATAAGAACGGAATCAGAAACCTCTTTTTACATGCTAGCGAACAGGAGCGAAAGGCGAAAAGCCTTTTAAAACATTTACCTCATGATTTGCAAAATAGCCAGGTTACTAAATAAGGCACCGGCCAGTTGCACAATACGTTGATTAAGGTAAACTTTAAAGCAAATACTGTGGCAGGTATAGGCAAAGGGGCACATAGAACATGTAGAATGAAAGTATAGTTGGTTACATTGACGGCTAGAGATTAGCCAGCGTAGCAGGCGCTGGGAAGTAACGAGCGCAACGGGAACAAGAAAGAACGAGGCGCGCGAGGGAGACACGTCCTCTCGCCTTGCGTGTCTCCCTCGCGTTCTTTCTTGCACCCATTTCTTCCAAGCGCTTGCCACCCAGAGATTCGAATCTGGACGCCGTTGCCTCAAACTTAATTATTTAAATAAGGCTGCTTCAATAGCAATTGTACATGGCAGCAACAGACTAACCCACCCAACTGATCTGCAGTTTCGTACCCAGTAACACCTTTTAGAGTGAAATTTGAGACAATTTTGAAATATCACAAGTGGTATTTATGCCAAATATCAAGTACAAATGATGCTATTATTTGTTTATACTACTACCCGGAAAAGGTTTGTAATTTTCACATGTAGGTATTTCAAATTAAGGTGAAATATCACTGCTCTAAGCCAATCAAATTGCAGAAATTTCTCTCGTAGTAGTATAAAGGCGTAACTCCTGGGTTTAAGCAATTCACAACAGAAATTAACTTTTATAGGATGGAATGAATTAAAATTAAAATTATGTAAATACTTCAAAATGTGAAACCCTGGTTTTTAGCACTGTCCCAAAATAAGACATCAAATTATTTTCAAGTGCATCTCACACATTACGATGGAAACTTTTGGTAGATAAAATGAACAATGAATGAAAAAAGTGCATTTCAACAGCATTGGAGAAAAGGTTTGGTTTCCAGTACCTGTTTCTTTCTTCTTCTTGTCTTTGCTGAAAAAAAAGTTTGAGTTAGCATTTGGCGTGTTCATGATGAACTTAAGGACACATGCACAAAAAATATTGAATCACTAACTCCTGTCACTTAATTATACATACATAATAACTTGTTCAATCAACAATTAAATTGATTACATGATTTATTATTACAACTCGGCTTTTCAACAGCTTATACTGCAGTTCAAACCCTTAGCTTTGTGGAATGAAAGGAGGCTACAGTAGTAACAAATCAAGATAGGCAGGCCTACAAATATACATGAACATGTATATTGGAAAGTAGGCTCATTATGAGCTCCAGAGAAGAAATGAATGTAACAAAATGAATGAGGCTTTAGGCTGTGTACCATCGATTAACATTTTAAATTTTAATGAAAGTAATAGTAAGAGAAAGCTTATAGCCATGGTGGTGGGTATATACTTCTTAAGGGCAGTCAACTTGTAAGAGAGTGGGGACCTATTCAAGTAGAACATGGAGTACACCTAAAAACAGACAAAAAGTCTGTTGTAATGCCTGATGAAAATCTTGTCACCTCCTTATTTAAGGATACCCTAGATTTTTCAACGAAAAGATCTTCTTATGAATAACCAGTTTACTTACTCTTTAGCAGGTAGGTCTATGTCCTCTGGCTTCGGCTCAAAAAATTTTAACACTGTATCACATGCTGAGATCTTTGGAGGCAATGAAATCAGTTCCTAAAAACACAAGAGGAGACAATACCACATCTAATCAATAAACAGATAATTAATTTCTGCAGGATCATCCACTGTACTTTTTCTGCACAGCAAATGGAAATGATGCAAACTGTAAAAGTTGCATTAGGTTAGCCAAACAAGGCTAATTAAGGCTATGGTGGTGCGAGAAATGACCGAAAATACATGTACTTCAAAACTGACAACTTTTTTCACTGATCTGCAGTTACAACTTCAGAACTATCTTAAAGACTCTTACTTTGCAGTATTCACTGATTGGTTCCTTTCTTCGCAATGCAACATCCCGCACATGACTTCTTCCAAAGATGATTTTACCTATTTTTTATGCAGCACAAAAGAACATGCATGCTAAATATCACCACTGAGGAAACTACAGGAGAAGTAGTGGCTAACCAAACTCTGAAAAAAATATCGTCAGCTCTACTGAAGACGTAGATATTCTGTTTTGGAGGGGGAACTTGAAAGGGTGTCAACTCCTGGTCAGAATAATGGAAGTACTGGTCCAACATTTTTTAAAACACCCCTTTGAGGCATCAGAAGGTTGTTTTGTAGGCATGGCTCAGTATACTTTAAACTGTAAAGCTGGCACTGACAATGATGATGATTTAGTTAGAAAAGAAATACTAAGAACTTCAGTTTTTGGCTCAATACTCTATTAGGCCTCTAAAAGTTACTTTTAGATTTTACAGGCACCCTAAAGGTCTACTCTTGAAAAAGTATGACTTTTACCCTTGTCATTTTATAGGGGAGACTACCTTACAAACATACAAACAAGTGAATAAAAAACTTCAGCAAACATCACACCTGGTAAAAATGGCAATATTCTCTTGGATGGGTCCTTCACACCACTTTCCTCTGGGAACTCTTCTAAAAGTTTAGTCTGTACAAATGCAAGACTAAGTTAATAAATGTGGCTCAATGTCCTTTGCTAAGAGAGTCTCAAACTTTAATTATATGGTGGTGGATCAAGTAAGTCAAGACATTTCAAAACACTTTGAACTTCAACATAAATGGAATGTTAGGGTATGTTTCTTTCATTTCAAGGTCAGACATGAGTATGAAATTGAATATATAAACAGATACATTGCACAATCGACCACAGGAATACCAGCTCTCATTTAACTTGACAGCTCAGTGGTGCACCTGCACCTTTTCTTGTTACTAATACAAAGTTTTTGAGGGCACTCCAGCTTTATTTTCTATGGATTTAAGCAAATCACTTGCAAAATGAAAACCTCTGTGCTGGCTACAAAGCAAAGCTCAGTTTGTAGAGGGTGCATGATCGTAGACTTGAAAACAACTTTAACCCTTGATCGTCGGTACGGGTATTTCTGACGAAATCCAAGTTGTGATGATCGCCATTGATGTAACGATGATCTCAAGATATTAAATTGACGATCACATGCCATTTCAATTAAGTCTGGCAACATTAGCCATGCAATGACAGCAAATTAAAGAAACATGCCAAAAACTGTGCTGCACATTCAGAGCTTTGTTTTGTTTATTTTCTCGTTTTCCGTCATTGTTGTGTTACACTGAGCTTCCCAGTAGTTTGCTTTTACCATGCAAGACAATTCATGATATGCTATGATTTCACAAAAAAACATATGCTTTGGTGGAAAATCTGCGACCAAATCAGGATCCGCAGGTACACTGTACCTGTGAAGAAGCACAACCTTATGTCTAGTTAGGGCTTACTTTTTCCAAACTGCCTAAGTTACATGCATAATTATGATGCTTCATCCTTTTAGTTTTAGAAGTTTTAGTTAATATAAGATCAAGAAGTCTTTCATCAACTTTAAAACCTACACTGAAGTTATCTGCAAGGAGATAGAGCTCTTGACTATTAATTTCTCTACTTACTTGAAGATCAAAAAATTTACTGTATCGTCTGTATATGACATTGACACTTCCATCAGACCAAGTGACATTTATGACATAAACCTGAAGTACAAATTATCGTAACATGAGAAAATGGTTGGATACAGTATAAATGGATTATTACAACCAGGAGGAAGATAACTATGACAATAAATATATCTATGCAGTTAATCTGTTCCTAGTGGACAGCTCTAAAATACAACAAAATTTCACTACTAGCTACATTCTTGCTATATATTTTATATGTCGTCTATTCCCGTATAGCAATCAGTAAGTTTGTTTGAAAGCGAAATCTTTGATCACGAGCCTACGATGCTTTTCCCTGCCGAAAACAAAACACATGCCGAGAAATCGAAAGCCACTTCACCTTACGTGCTTGAGCTTACTTTAATCTAAGAGGGCCAAAATATAGAGAACGAAACGGTGATCGGAGACATCACTGAATAGAGACATAAGCCTTTATCACAGTCTTA